CTTTTGCAGTCTGGACGGGCGAGCGTGGGGACGGGGCGATGGCGGCCGCGTCGGGGCTCCGGGCGCGCTCGGCCTGCCCGCGGACGCACGCGTGGGTGCGAAGCCGCGGCGCTCGGGCCGGGCTTCGAGTCGCGGAGCGCCTCCCACCCAATAGCGAATGGTGGTTTTTTAATGTACACAAGATACATCAACCATCCGAGCAAAGCCCCGTTTGGAGATGATGTGCGGCCGACGCAGCGGCGCGGCCCATTGTGAGCTGGTCCCCGGTGCAGACCCGGAGGGGTCCGAGACCGGGTCTGCGGGGCGTGCGGGCGAGAGCAGGGCGAGCTGGTGCAGCTGCACGGAAAGCCACGGCTGCCGCCGAGTCCCTGAAAGGGATCTGGTGCAGCGGAGGACCTTTGTGCTACCAGACCCGGCAGTGTGATAGGATAACTTGCCTTCATAGTTTGTTTGTTTTTAAATATTGACTTTAAATGTGGACGTAGGCACCTACACGCACGTCACAAGCTGCTAGCGAGAGGTGAACTACACAGAACGATTTGGTTGAGCATCGCGCTGGCTGCTGCTGGCTGCCTCCCTTGGCGTGCAAGGCACCTGTGTGTCTAGGTTGTGCAGATTCAGAGCGGTATCCAGGAAGGGCTAGGGAAAGATCCAGCATCAGCATGATATCTGCTGATGGTGCCAAACCTCGCTTGCTAACTCTTCCCAGCCTGCCTGCTCTGGAGAGGTGGTGTGTTCACTGACAAGCGCCACAAATAAGAGGCAAGGAGTGGCAGCCTTCTATTTCTCCTCCCCGGCCCCGTCTGATTGCCCCTGACGATGGAGTCGACTCCCATTGTCGATTGTCCTGCCATAAATAGCCTCCACAGCAATGAAGTTTTCAAGGTCTCCGTTTTATTCACAGGTGGAGCGCTGCTCCGTGTACCGGAGGGGCTGGGGGCCGCAGGAGCGGCGGATGCAAGGAAACCGGAAGCCCTTGGGATTTGCTGCCTACCAGAGTACTTTGCACAGATCTGGTTAATAAATTATTTTTGATGGCAGTAATGCGGCTGTCACTTTTTTTCCCCCCTGCTTTCACGTTGAGGCTTTCCCCCGAGGAAAGCTCTGGATTTTCAGTCTGAACATGCCTAATCCAGTAGCGCTGAATTATGCTTCTCACAACTGCAAGTGTAAAAAATACCACACACCTTTGAGTCTCTTATAAATGCAAGGCACAGCCCCCTCGGGAAATATGGCCCCAAGCTCTACTTTCTCCAGGCATGGTGCATTTCCTGCCTGGCCTTTCCTACTGCCCCACAAAATACTGTGACATGATACCAAGTGCTGCAGTCAGATAGATCTATGAGTCAGGAAACAGCTTTCCTTCGTTTGTTTTGTTTTTTAACCACTCCTGTTGGTGCCCAGTGTCCCTGCAGAGCCTCCGCGGTGCAGTAGTTCAAGCACTGGGCTACTCTGTCCTTCAGGTCTGAATCCACTTGCTGTTGATGGCATTGGTTTGGAGTTCTCATTTCTGCAGCCTCTCCTTTCCCTGCACTCTGGGATAAATCCGACATATGAGATGTGGGTCTGTAAGGTTGCAGCTGGGCAGCTGCTCCCTCCGCTGACCACAGCCCCAGGCCTTCACTCCACATTGTCTCAGGGCTCCCAAAAGCCATTTCCATCTACTTCTCCAAATCGCACCACCACCACCCCCCACCCGCCCCGCAGTTCTCATTTCCTCTTTGCTTTTACTACTTATGCATGGTTCCCCATTGAGCTCATTTTCTCCCAGATCCCAAGTCACTGCACTTGACTACCCATTATCTGCTTTCACAGAGAACATCATTACCAGAGGAGGGAAAAAAAGAACCCATTGCTTTGATGGCCTCCTATTGGGGCGCGGATAGTACCAGCCTATCCTAGAAGGTTTGGCTGGTGCAAGAATCATTAAGTGCCCTCGGGTCAGTAACTAAGACCCATAGCAACCCTGTGCATAGCAGAAGGAAACAGTGCCCAGGCCTGCACTGTCTTCACAGTGGCTACTATGTTTGAGCCCACTGTTGCAGCCGCTCTGTCAATGCACCTGGTGCTCTGGTAGCAGGTATACATACTGGGATTAGAATGGGGGCAGGGTACCCACAGCTGAATCAAGGTCAGATCATGGACTTGACTCCATCTGTTAATGAGCAGTGAGCTAGGTGCTCTTGTGGTTAAGAAGGCGTCTCATTTTGAAGACTTGCCTTTCACTGAAGCAGAATACTGAAGAGCTTCAGATTGGCGCACTTAGAGCTCAGCTCCTCCGTAGCAAGCTTATAAACTAGTCTGGGTTCCTCTTTTCTCATTTGTGAGCTTGAATGTCAGTGCTCTGTCTCAGTACATGGAATTATATGAAATTTTCTAATCGGGATGGCATGCCTCGACATCTTTCCTGAAATCCGTAGTTTGCCGATGATGTGGTCCACTGGCACATTAAACTCGGGATTTCTAATCATTGCCTAGTTTGGTGACAGACTAGCATTTCTACGGAGTCTCAGTTCTCCTTCAGTGGCGGCAGCGTCACCAATGACTCAGAGCCATGTTGTGACTCCGTACCTGACGTATTCCATGTTGAGTGATCATCATCAGTGGCCCACTTCTGCCATTGCCCTGGGTCCCATCGTTTGTGGCATCCTTGGGACTAGACCATCTTTCAGTCCACAAGACCTATCTTGGTGACTATAAACCGACAATGGGCCTTTCCAGTATGTTAGCCTAACAGGCATCTAGTTCCAGCTAGAGTTCCTTTAGAGAAAGTGCCACCTTCTGAGGAGGACCACCCAGCCCGCAGGCGGTACACATAAGCAGAAAAGTCTTTCTGTTTAGCCAAAAATCTGCCTTCCCATAGCCTCACCCTTTCTTCTTAGCTGATTCATATACACTTAATGAACGCCATGCCAGATTTGGAGGATGCAACAGAAACCAAAAATATTTGCTGTCCATAGACTTACATTTCGGAGGGGTGAGACTTAAGAAAAATAAATAGAGCATGTTAGGTGGTCTCTTGGAAAATGAGAAGTACAGTGGCTATTTTGGATTTCTGAGGCAAGGCAAACAATTGGACCCCTTGGCAGCTACTGAAAGATGGAGAACCAGGTTTACCCAGAGAAGCCTGGAGAGGTGATCTATTCTTGAAAGAACATAGCCTTTGAAAATCTTAGGAAGCACAGACCTGTTTTGACAAACACGATGGGATCATCATGAGTATGAATTGACTCATGACAACAGCACATGACAACATGATGATCATGGGATCATCAGGAGTATGAGTTGGCTCATGACAACAGCACATGACAACATGATGATTATGGATCATCATGAGTACGAGTTGACTCATGACAATAACACATGACAACATGATCATGGGAGCATCAGGAGTATGAGTTGGCTCATGACAACAGCACATGACAGCATGATCATGGGATCATCAGGAGTACAAGTTGACTCATGACAACAGCACATGACAACATGATGATTATGGATCATCATGAGTATGAGTTGAATCATGACA